ATTTGTATCCATTTTTTGTCATTCTCCCTGTCTGCCGCGGCGTCTGTGTGGCCGGTCTTTTTTCTTCTTTGTGTGTGATTTTTTGACAGATAAGAAACACACAACTGCATTAGCGGCCGCTGTCGCCCTCTGTCGGCCGGAAGCGCAACTTAAATTATGACGTTAAACAAAAAAAATTAAAGGGCCGGCCGTCAACGGCCCTTGTCCACCGGCCGTTCTATGGTTTTCCAGATTCTACAGATGGCCAGTCCGCCCCTGCCTCCGACACAAGGTGCAGAAGACCCGAGACAGATCTCCACTCACGGGCTTTACCCAACTGTGTTTTTCTTCCCACTGTTTGTTGTAAGACACAAGTCTTTTCTTTTTAGAAGGGCCAGGGCCCAGAACCACATCCTCTCTCTCTTCTCTTCTTTCATTATCACCTCCTCCACCGGCAGCACTAATTTCCCCACAAGACTGAACAGGCTGACATGCCACACAAACAATGATGCCGCGCCCGCCGCCCGCGGCCCACCGGAGAAAATCTCACGCACACACACGTGCGAGCATTGTGCCTGCCCTGTCAACTGAGCGGTCCTAGCGCCCAGAGGCGCGGGAAGATATTTTGAGTGGAGGTGCTGGACTCCAGTGAACACTATTACGGGCACTATAGAGCACGCACAAAAGCACTGCCCACACGCAAATACACAGTACACCCGCGACTGTTACAATGAAGGCTCGATAATCAGCTCACGGCATATAGGCAGGGGTAAAGTGCTATTTTTTTTACAAGTGGGGAGCGGACCTCACATTCCTCATGGGGGTCCGGGGGGATGGTCCCCCGGGAAGATTTTTTTTAAATATTGAAGTTAAAAGCATCAATCTGGTGCACTTTGAGAGCAACATTAAGAGATCTATGGATACATCTCTCAACACCCAGATGAAACACAACTGTAAGCAGATGTTCTTTTTCTTTATGGATATTTTACAAATCACTCCCCTTTCAAACTGTATTCTTGTTTTACTGCCATATAGTCTTTCATAACTGTTTTCCCTTTATTCTCTTATTTGTTTTATAACTATAATGATCATATGAAGGTGTGCCGCGGAAATAATCTTTTGAATAATTTGTGACCAAACCGTTTGAGACCCACTGAGATAACTTAGACTAAAGTTAACTATCTAAACACTCAGAGAGTCCTTTAGCTCAGTCTGAGAGGAGAGGACCCTCCTCCAGCTTGTTGTGGAACACACACACACACACACACACACACACACACACACACACACACACACACACACACACACACACACACACACACACACACACACACACACACACACACACACACACACACACACACACACACACACACACACACACAAACAGCCGAGTTTGAATGACACAAGCACACTTTTATTTCCATGCAACTCTCTGATTGGTCTGGTGTCTTCTTGCCTCTGTTGCATTCACTGAACACGGGAAATTACAGTGCCGTCCTCTCCAGTGTTATGATGAGGTTCACGTAAACACGGTTAATGTATTATATTATTGAGGTAGAATTGTCCGGTGCTACAGAAAAAACATTCGGGGCAGGCCAAAATATTATTTTACCAACAATGTGGAATTTATTGGCTACATATTACACAGATTATGCACAGCGGGAGCAGCAATAACCGTCAAATAATAATTCAGACAGGGGAACTCCGCACCCCCTGCCTGCCGCTAGGGGGTGCTGCAGCGCCCTCAGCACCCCCCTTCCCGCGCCCATGCTAGCGCCCTTCGAATACAGCACACAAACACACAGGCACGCAGCCAGACCTGAGCCAGACACACTGAATTGCGCGCAAACAGAAAAATATTTTTTATTTTTCCCTTTACAGGAACACGCCCCTTTTGGCACAAATACGGGGCGTCCCGGCTAATAAGGGGCGTCCCGGCCAATACGGGACGGTTGGCAACCCTAGTGGCTGGTGTCTCCCTTAGGGATAAGGTGAGAAGAGTTGAACTGCTCCTCCTTCGCGTCGAAAGGAGCCAGTTGAGGTGGTTCGGGGGGCACCTAGTAAGGATGCCACCTGGGCGCCTCCCTAGGGAGGTTTTCCAGGCACGTCCAGCTGGGAAGAGACCAAGGGGTAGTGGGCGTCGCAGTCATTATATGAGGGTGGGACAAGTCCCCCCCACTTTTTCAAATTATTAGTTTAGACCCCCCCACTTTTACCATGCGGAAAGTCCGTGAATCGGTCTCTCCACTCGCCTCACTTTGTAGAGCGCTGTGTCAGTGCTTCACTATCAAATACATTCCAATTGCTTATTGAGAGAATGCCCAAATCAATGAAACTCCGTACCATGTTTTCACTGCTACTTTGTACCAAGGCAAATTCTCACATGTTCAAGGAGTGTTGCCATAGTTGGACAGCTCAGATCTGTTGTATGAAGCGATGCCGGTAGCGGAGGTAAGGCACACACACCAAATGTTCAGGAAATGGTTTACAACATGGACATAAGAACATTTTTTTCAAAGAAGAGGAAAGTAAGTCTTCAGCTGGTAGCAGTTAATCAGTTAACAGTGATGGCGGCGGCGTCTCACTTCTGGAGAGGAGTTTCGTCTTTACAGTATGTCATGATAGAGAGATACAAATACTGAATAGTTTAGATGAGAAAAGGCATCGAAATGCCAGGTTACTAGTATTTATCATGTAAACAGGGAACATGAATAACCCGATCTCTCTGTGCTCATGTGAACACCATATCCCCAATATGATCATAACCTAATACTCATAAACGGCTTACTGATGTCCATGTTCATTTTTTCATTTAAAACCATAATTATTTAACAAGATTGGTCCCATTAAGATCATAGATCTCTTTTTCAAGGGAGACCTGCAGCATATAGGTTCCACATGAAACATAAAACAATAAAGGACATCGTACATTATATTTACAGGATACATTTACATAGTTATAGACATTTACAAGTGCCCATAGTATCAACGAGCATTTCATTTAGCCTAGCTTTAAAAACATGCAGAGGAATGAGATTGCTCAGTTTCAATTCTTGCTGAAGATTGTTCCAAGCAAGTGGAGCTGCTGCGCACATAAAAGCTGTCTTACCTAAGACAGTCCTTGCTCTTGGCACATCTAACAATACTACATCATGCGATCTCAGACAATAGCTGCTTGCAACTCTCTGTGTTATCAGAGAGCAGATATAATACGGGAGTTTACCCAACAAAGCTTTATAAATAAACGTGTACCAATGACTGAGCCTCCGTACAGTAAGTGATGACAAACCTGCCTTGGTATACAGTCAGTGTACAGTGATGTTTAAGTGCTTTACAATTAGTGACAAATCTCAGTGCGCTGTGATCTAACTTGTTCAGGCAATAGGCAGGTGCATTCATATACAACAAATCACCATAGTCCAGCACAGGTAAAAAGGTCACAGTGACTAGCCTTTTCCTGGCTTCAAAAGAGAAACAGGACTTGTTTCTGAAAAAGAAACCTAGTCCAACCCTCAACTTTTAAAGCAGGTTATTGACCTGAAGTTTAAAAGTAAGACAATCATCAAGCCAGATACCAAGGTATTTATAACAGGCAACCACTTCTAGTACTTGTCCTTGCATAGTAACAATATCTAAAACAGGCTCTGGTGTCTTTTTAGCTTTTGAAAATAGCATTACCTTGGTTTTATCAACATTTAAAAGAAGCTTAAGCTCAGCGAGCTGAATAATGTTAAAAACAGCCTGTAATTTAACACCAGCCTCCTTAATGGAGGGACCATGTAGAGATGCAGTCAGTGTTTTTTTACTGGAGTCTCAGTTCGATAAGAGATTATTTTCTGAGTTCTTTAACTTAGGTACTCTCTCTCAAAATGATAATGTGCATTATGTTTTAATTATACTTCTTATCATTCAGAAGCTTTTTGTGTGTGTTTATGTTTTACTGAGTTATTTATTTTCTGTCCACATTACATAAACTAGCTAATATTCTACCTAATGCTTGGGGCTTTGAGTCTTCAAAATATCCAATGTCACAGACTGGGACTTACTTTAGAGTCAGTTGTATTTACATTCAGTATGACTTGTTATGATTCAATGTGAAAGAGTATACTGCTCAATAAATAGTGATCACTTCACCACCTCTCTTGACATCTAGGCGCTTGAGAGTGAGTCAGAGGCAGAACACAGGGACAGTGGAGAGAGGTTTATTGCTGAGGTGAGTGATGAAAGGGAAATGACAGTTTAGAGTAAATTGTGATGTGGACTCTCATCCCAGAATTTTAAGGAAATCAGTGGGGATATTGAACAGGAAACATTTCAGTCAAGGGGCATCATATGACCAATATAGACAGAAGAGCAACATTTATTTGAACATTTAAGTCGATACCATTCCTAGGTGAACTTAACATCTGTATGGAGTCAGATCAGTCTCAATATTAATAAATGCTCACAGAAGGATTCACAAATGTGTTTTTTAATTTATATATAAATGACTCTCCACAACAATATCTCTCAATGCACTCACAAATATTTATTGTTGTATATAAATGTACAAAAAATGGGCATTTAAACTGCTTTTTATTCATTCAAAGACGGCTCTGAATTAATAATCAAATATGTTTCCTTTCTTTACTACTGGATGAAATTACAAAATGTACCCATCATTTTCCTCATGCTAGTATAGCCACATAAAAGTATCAAACCACCTGTTAAAATGCACCAGAATACAGGAAATCTATTTTTTATTTCGTGGGGGGGGGGATCCCCACACGCCCCGTTAAAAATGTCCCAGGGGTAGACCAGGACCAGGTGGAGGGATTATATCTCTTCGCTGGCCTGGGAGCACCTTGGGATCCCCCAGTCAGAGCTGGTTGATGTCGCCAGGGAAAAGAAAGTTTGGGGCTCTCTGCTGGAACTGCTACCCCCGCGACCCGACCACGGATAAGCGGGAGAAGATGGATGGATGGATATTTTAGCTGAGTGGGAATAACTTGTTTTTGTTTTTTGTTTTTGATTTACAGGTGAGGCATACTTTAATGCAACAGGTAAAACCTAATATAACCACTAAAACCCACATTCTCCTTTGAATTTCAGAATCCCTTATGTGGCTCAGAAATGTTTATTCTTTTATATTATTCTCACAGGAGGTGCAGGGACTGAGGATGTGACTCCTGATATTTTGGACAAAATGGGTTTCATCTCATTGGAAGCCATGGTAGCAGCTATTTTTGCTGCAATAAAGTCTGGAGCAGTTTGGATTCTCTGGGCAATCTTGAAGGCAATCTTGAAGTCAATCTTGAAGTCAATCTGGGCGTCATTTGGTAAACTGAATATTGTATTTCTTTATCTATAATTTAGTTCGAGTGGATATATTTTCATGCTGATTTAGGAAGACAACTACAAATTACAGTTTTCTGTTCTCTTATAAATGTAATAATCTTATTATATAATTTTGTTTTCATGTGGCTCATTGAAAGTTTAAAGCAGCATCATAACATCATCACAAGCAAGTAAATAAAAGGGAAAAGTCGTATTAGCAGCTCAGTGTGAATAGCATGTCATTGTTTTCCGTTTGTGTTTCATTAACAGGTTGCGGATGGTTTATGGCCGCAGGTAAGACCATTTGGAATGTACATTTTTGAACGTGCTAGCCTTTAATCATCAAAGTCCCATTGTTGTACTCAGGTTCAGGAGGTAATGGATTACATGTAACGTGATTACATAATCAGCATACCACATGAGATCTCAAACATATGGCATCACCTACTGAATTAAATAAAAGAACAAACTAACCAATGAAAGTCAAAACCATAAAGAAAATACAGGCAGTAGGCGTATAGAGTCCAACTTTGTACGGGCCTATATATCAACAGATCAGGTGTTCACCTGGCTGCTGCGTTGAAAAACAATGAATGAGTTTGAGAATGAGTATTCTGGATGAAAGCCAAAAGAAAATTCTGGCAGCATGCCTAACTATTTCAGTTTGCTCTGATTTTATTTTAGCTTCTTTTAAATGTAGTGTGTGGTCATGTGTCGCATTGTTGGTCTATAGTACACTACTGCCTAAATATGCTTAATGATAACTTGGTTTCTTCTTTTCTAACGTCACAGTGTTCTGTTGTCTTATATAATACGATTAGGTTAAAGCTCTCTTATTGATATTTATTTGCTCTTGTATTTATCTGCATTGCCTTTGATATTGAGGTGATCCAAAAGTAATGGAAAGTAATCAGGTTACATTCATTTTATATTGTGATACCTAGATTAGGTCACTGATTACTTTCTTTTTTAAAGTAACCCTCCCAAACATGGTTGTCCTTATCATTAGTGACCATGTCTCTTCTGCTTTAATCGTTCCCATTAGCTGGAGGAGCAGCCACTGTGTTGGCGACTCCTGCTATTCTAGCTGCCTTAGGTTTTACCGCAGGTGGAATAGCAGCCGGCTCCATTGCTGCCAAACTAATGTCGTGGGCTGCAGTTTCTAATGGAGGAGGCGTTGCAGCAGGAAGTCTGGTGGCAATCTTGCAGTCACTTGGTAAACTGAACAATTCATTTATCTTTATTTTTATCTTAATAAACGTCTGTCTCAAGCCAGTAAAAACAGTATATATCTGAAAAAAGTAAAGCTGTTTTACAAGGTAACAGAAAGGCTCATAAATATATTTCTGTTCAAATACCAAATAAAGTGAATGCTGTTGTTAGACATCCCTATATACAAAAAGTACTTTCAATGAACAAACTAGAACATGTTGTTCTACAATGGACAGAGGAAGCATTTGGAGTATATTCAAGTTTCAGTCCTGGAGGAGAATTTACATCTAAATAGATAAATAAGTCATTTTAGACTGTGGAATAAAAGCTTTCCTTTTGGAAAGGTAAGAGCTCTTATTATTCTCAAGAATAATGTACTCTCACTGCTGGTATGTCAGGGGCTACAACTGGAGCTGCGGCTGGAGCTGCGGCTGGAGCTGCGGCTGGAGCTGCGGCTGGAGCTGCGGCTGGAGCTGCGGCTGCGGCTGGAGCTGCGGCTGCGGCTGGAGGAGCTGGAGCTGCGGCTGGAGTAGCTGTGGCTGGCATGGGTGAAGCTGTTGCATGGATGCTGTCAACCATTTGCTGTCAGCCAGATCTAATAAAGATTTAGACCATGGATATGGGACACATTTAATCTTCACCTAATGGAGACAAATACACATTTTGTGTATATCTGTTCTGTGATGAATGTCAAATACCAACATTAAACTGTGTATGCCATAGCATAAATATTTGAACATCAATCCAGAAGCAATTATATTGTTATGATGACATTAAAAGTCTAACATGTCTAATTTTCATCTTGTCATTCATTATTTGTATAAGTCAAAAGTGTGTTTTATAATGTGGAAGATGATGCCTACATAGTGTCATTTGCAGGATGTGAATTAGCTCTAATTAATCGTTGTTTTGACACTATAACTAAATCTGAAGGCATTAACATGATGCTTCTGTGCTCTGTGAGTACTTTTATCTTATTATGTGGCCAATTCTAAACCCAAATAAAATGCATGAAAAATAAAGCAAGTGTTTCATTTACACAATTTCAATTATTATACTCGAGTTTATGTAAAAGACTAAGAGTGAACGTGGTGACTTCTGGTGAGGGCAGCGCCATGTAGAGACAGAGTTTTGTTGAGCTCCTCATGAGAATGACTAATGTCAGAATATTGCTCTTTTAAAACCACTTGAACGGACTCCAAGCTACTTGATATACAAGTTATATCCATAGCCAGACGATTGCTGAGTAAATATGCCAAAAAATCGCCAGGGAAACAACAAGTTGGGGCCGGCGGCTAGCGCTAATGCTAACCTGGCAGACGACGCATACATCAACGACCAACACGTGGTACTTAACGCTATTGCGTCTCTTAAACAGGACCTGGTGGCAAAAATTGAAGAAAAGGCCATAGCCCAATCGGCGGAAATCAAAATACAGACTACCCAGATTCGGACGGAATTACGAAGTGTGGTGGAACAAGTCAACAAAAGAATTGAAGTAACTGAGGGCCGAGTATCTGAGCTGGAGGCTGAGGTTAGCAACCATTCGGACTCAATCACTTGCATGACATCAGATGTTACTGATATGAAAAAAGAACTGGCCACACAGGGACCGTTGCGAGGATTTGGAGGCAAGATCACGTCGCTGTAATATCCGCATTATATGAGTGAAGGAAGGACGGGAGCATGGGAAGCACCCATCTCAGTTTGTGGCTGTTATGTTATGCTAAAAGTTTCCCTTGGTCTCGACAAGCCCCCGATCCTGGACCGGGCACACCGCGCTCTCCGCAGCAGAGCGACACAAGACGTGCTCCCACCGCGGGCTTTTATTGTGAAATTCCACTATCTCTCCGAAAAAGAATCGCTGCTGAAGAAAGCAATAGAGATGAAATCAGTGACGACCCCCGACGGTGACCAGATCCGGCTTCTGCCGGACTTTACTCAGGCGGTGAGTAAACAGCGGGCAGCCTTTACCGAGGTGAGAGGGCTGCTGCGGAGCTGCGAGGGGGTGCGCTACGGCCTGACATACCCTGCCATACTGATGATCACAACATCGGGGGGCCACGAGGCAAGTTTCAGCGATCCAAAACTGGCAAAGGAGTTCGTTCTTAATAAGGTGGTGCGCAAGGCTTCATAATGGACATGTTTTGGTGAGTATTGGCCAAGGGCTAAAATTCCAGCTCCATATGCTGTTGATGGAGACGAGAAACAACTCGGCCGGACAATATATATGTGGTTATGTTTGGGAGATATATATATATATATTGATTTTTTCTCCATATCTACAATTCTCAGGATTTCCCATTTGATAACGTATATTTTTTCTGTATTGTTCTTGCTGGGAAAAAAATTGAGGCAAGCCACGCCACGGACAATAATATCATTGTGTAACCATATGGGACATTAACGTTTTATTTTATTGAGCCATAACATATTCAGGGCTGTTACATTACCTAGCTGATATTTCAAACTAGGATGTAGCTATATTCAGCATTGCCTGGTCAGCTGAAGAGAAGGAGTTATATTGAGTTAATTGTTCAGTTCTCATGGGGGGCTCGCATGGTAAGCAGTTTAGGAGAAGAGGTTTACTGGAAGTGCAAGCAGTCTCCATGCGGGAGACAAGCATAACGTTTGTCGTGTTGTCATTGTGTTTTATGTTTGTGAAAATGTATGTGTATAAGTGCTCATCCTCCCCTTCCCACCCTTTTTTGTTTTGTTTGTTTTTGTTTTTTGGCTACAACCCTTTTACCAAACTCAGGGACTCCCCAATGCAGTATCATAATTTGAAGGACCATATCGATGGCTTCTGTAGATAAAGGTATAGGCAGGGCGGACACCACGGTGGTGAGTTGGAATGTAAGGGGATTGAATCACCCGGTTAAGCGAAGCAAGGTGTTTTCTCATCTAAACAAATTAAAAACTGAAATAGCATATTTACAGGAAACTAATTTATTAAATAAAGACCAGCTAATGCTTCAAAGAGCAGGATTTACACAGGTTTTCCACTCCGATTGTAATAGCAAGAGCAGGGGGGTAGCTATTCTCCTGCACAGAGATGTGCAGCTTGAAGAGTCAAAATCCATAAGGGACAAAAATGGTCGTTACATAATTATTCAAGGTAAACTGTTCAATAAGCCAGTAGTGACATGTCATCAGCATGTGACTGCAACTTGTTCCTGTTCGCGGACGACTCAGCCCTGCTGGTCTCTGACAGGAGCAGATTGCAGGTTGAAAAAACCCTCAGCTCCGAGCTCGGCAGAATCTGCACCTGGCTCGCCGATAATAAATTATCATTACACCTGGGTAAAACAGAGTCCATTCTCTTCGGTTCGAAACATAATCTCAGCAAATCCGACGACTTCTCAGTTGCAGTGGGCGACATTATTGTCACAAGTAAGAAGGAAATTACATACCTAGGATCTATTCTTGAGGCAAACCTCTCCTGTGACAAAATGGCATCCAATGTAATAAAAAAAGTCAATCAAAGAACTAGATTCCTATACCGGATCTCCTCTGGTAAACAAAAACACCCTGAAAACTCTGGCAGGAGCACTCATTCAAGGGTACTATGACTATGCTTGCACGTCATGGTACCATAGCACCTCCAAGGCGCTAAAAATAAAACTTCAAACATCGCAAAATAAACTGGTCAGACTACTGCTTGACCTTTCATCTAGAACCCACCTCACCTCTGCCCACTTTGACAACCTAGGATGGCTTAGAGTAGACGACAGAGTACAGCTACTTGCAATGGGCCTGGTCTACAAGATCCACTACACCTCTATGGTACCCATGTACATGTCAAAATTCTTCCCAAAGGTCAAGGAATACCATGATCATAACACCAGAGGGAGCTCCACAAATCATGTGAAACCCAGATTTGGCACAAAAAAGGGGGAATACACGTTTCGCAATTATGCCACATCAAGGTGGAACGCTCTTCCCACAACTGTAAAGGAAAGTAAACTATACTTACCTTCAAAACCTCTCTTAAAGAGCACCTTCGGGGGAGAGCATTGCAAAACTGGCCCCGGTAATGGTACAAATCTCAACCTGTCGTTCAATGGACAGCTTCCCCCCCCATCTATGTATATACTCGCATTTTAGACTCTGTTACTAACTGTATATCTGTAGACTTGGTATGTCTTAAATGTCCGGTTAGGATGTATTAGAACAAAATCTAAAATGAAAATTGTAAACAAGCAATCTGTATGTAAAAAACCACCTGTATGTAAATTGTAAATAAGCCATCTGTATGTAAAATATGTCTTATATGTCTTAAATGATATGATGAATTGGAAATGGGGGATCCTGATGTAAACAAGACGAAAGTCTTTCTCTGGTCTGCATCCCCTTAACAATTGTATGTTTTGAGCTGTACTGTACTGTACCCAATATACAAGCTGTTAATAAACTTTTCAATCAATCAATCAATGCTTGCGAATGTGTATGCCCCAAATTGGGATGACGTTGATTTCTTCAGGAATCTTTTCTCACTGTTGCCAGGGGGGGACCTAAATTGTGTCCTAGACTCTGTGCTAGATCGTTCTGGCAGTAAGGTCACCACACCTAATAAATCTGCAAGCTGCATAAATACATTCATTCAAGCCACGGAGTGATTGACCCCTGGAGATTTAAATACCCGACTTCCAAACAGTTCTCTTTTTTCTCCCCAGTACACCAAACCTACTCTAGAATTGATTGTTTTTTAATAGACCAAAAATGATTGCCCATAACTACACAGGTGGAATACAACAGTATAGTCATATCAGACCATTGCCCAGTACTTTTGAAGCTCCGTTTTCCGAAAAATACACTCCGTCAACGCGTATGGCGCCTTAATCCTAGGCTGCTTGGGGAAAAAAAACTTTGTTGACTTTATAAACACACAAATTGATTTCTTTCTCGAAACCAATGAGTCCCCAGAGATAAGTTATTTTACACTATGGGAAACCATGAAAGCATATGTAAGGGGGCAAGTGATATCTTACAACGCTGGTGAAAATAAAAGGAAATTCAAACGAGCTACAGAATTGATTGATAGGATTAAAGTGATTGACAGATTACATTCAGTATCGCCTTCGGAGAATCTTTACAAGGAGAGAATTTTGCTTCAGACAGAATTAGATTCTCTGTCCAATGGGGACGCTGTAGATCTTCACTTAAAATCACGCTTTAATTTCTACGAACATGGGGAGCGTGCCAGCAAGCTTTTGTGCCATCAACTTAAACAGTCAGCAACAGCAGGTTTTATATCTGCAATAAAAGATGAGGAAGGTAATGCCCAGTTCCAGTCTTTCTATGAGAATCTGTACACCTCGGGGGCAAGTAGCAAGGAATTAGTAGATGACTTCTTCAGTAAAATTGAAATGCCCTCCTTGGATGAATCAGACAAAACTGGACTGGAGAGAAATATAACTTTAACAGAGATTGACAACGCAATTTAAAAAAAAATGAAGCCTGGAAAAGCACCAGGCCCTGATGGTTATCCAAGTGAATTTTTTAAGAAGTTTGCCCCTAAACTACTGCCGCTATTAGTAAAGGTATTCGAGGAGGTCCTGGTTAGGAAGGCTCTTCCCCCAACTATGACGCAGGCCTCTATCTCACTATTACTCAAAAAGAATAAAGATCCGTTGTTGTGTGAATCATATCGCCCGATTAGTCTTTTATGTTGCGACTATAACATTCTAACCAAGGTCCTAGCAGGGAGGCTTGAGAAAATTATGCCTAAATTGATACATCCAGATCAGACTGGTTTCATTGTGGGTAGACAACTTTCAAGCAACCTCCGCCGTGTGTTCAATGTTATCAACCAGCCCAACAATGTCGAACCTGAACTTATTATATCCTTGGATGCACAGAAGGCGTTTGATAGGATTGAATACAATTACCTGTTCACTGCGCTCGAGAAGTTCGGCTTCGGCCCTACTTTTTGTTGGCTGATCAAGATCCTTTATACAGCGCATAAAGCTTCAATTCGAACTAATGGGATAATGTTTCATTATTTCCCACTTTTCCGTGGGACACGACAGGGTTGTCCACTGAGCCCCCAGATATTCGATATTGCTATAGAGACCCTGTCAATACTGTTAAGAGACCGCTAGTCTAACTGGAGTGCAAAGGGGGGGAGAATTGCATAAGTTGTCGCTCTATGCGGATGATCTTCTTTTTCTTTCTGATCCCCATGCCACTATACCTATTGCCTTGGAACTTATCGCCGAGTTTGACCGGGTGTCAAGCTATAAACTGAACCTGAGTAAAAGTGTTCTATTCCCCATAAATGATAAAGCACGTCAAATGTCATATCAGAATTTCCCTTTCACTGTGTGTGAGAACAGTTTTACATACCTAGGTGTCTGTGTCACTTACAAATACAAAGATCTGATGGACAATCATTTTAAAATAGTGCTTGATAAGGCTAAACTGGACATGGAGAGATGGTCGACTCTCCCCCCTGTCACTAGCTGGCAGGGTTAATTCTGTTAAAATGACGATCATGCCCAGGTTCTTATTTCTGTTTCAGGCAATCCCAATCTTCATCCCTAAATCCTTCTTTAGGGAATTAAATAAATGCACTTCGACTTTCATTTGGAATAAAACTGTTCCTCGAATTAGGAAAGAGTATTTGGAAAGGCCAAAGGGGGAGGGTGGTTTGTGCTTACCCAATTATTTGTATTATTATTGGGCTGCCAACATCCACAAGCTGATGTTTTGGGTTGATGTGACGGACGAATCCCCAGTTTGGTCTGTAATGGAGCAGCATTCAAGTAATCCAGTGTCACTTTGCTCTTTAATTTGCACTCCACTACCCTTGAGTAAAAACTACTGGACGAATAACCCAGTCATCCAAGGCTCTCTAAAGATATGGACTCAGTTTAGAATTAATTTCAAACACAAACAGGCACTTGTTGCTTCCCCAATTCTGGCAAATGTAAATTGTTCTCCATCTCTCACTGATCCATCTTTTCGGTTATGGCATGGGAGAGGGATTAGGTGTGTTAAAGATCTTTTTAAAAATGGACACTTTATTTCTTTTGAGCAGTTAAAGAAGGATTTCAATATCCCACAGTCATGTTTCTTCAGATATTTGCAGATACGTAGTTATGCCAGGACCCACTTCTCTCTAGCAGCCCCACA